ACCCGGCGTCGTACAGCACCGAGGCGCTGCTCCGCGCCGACATCCGCACCATCTCGCTCCTCGACCACGGCGAGGCGGTGCGCACCCTCGTATCGTCCCAGCAGCGCAATGCCATCGTCTCGCGCGCCGGCAGCACCAACGCGGCGTCGGCGATTGACGAAGGGCAGGCTGGGTTGCAGAGGGAGAGGGAGAAGATGGTGCGCTGGACCACGCAGCTGCACGAAGCGTACCGCCAGGTACGAGAGGCCAAGAGTCTGCTCGACCAGGCCAAAGGGTATCGGGAGCGCCGCGACGACGAAGACGAGGCGCGGGCGCTGGAGCGCCAATCGGCGCTGCTGATCGCCGATACCGACGTCGAGTCGCTGCCCCCGACGTGGCAGCACATTGACGACTGGCTATCGAGCCGGTGTGCTCCTCCCGATTCGCTGCCGTTGTTCCAGAACGACGACGACAACGACGACGACGACGACGACGACACGGGGGCGGGCGATGATCACGAGCCCCTGCACCGACGTCGAGGGCGGGGACACGGGCCCGCCGCAGCCGAAGTCGGAGCGTGGGACGATTCTGCGCCTCTCGGAGCGAGCGATGGTGCGGGTGCGCCGCTGTCGCCGTCGCTGTCGGACCACGTCGGACGGATGCTGCGGCGCATCCAGACCAAGATGACGAGGCTGCATCGCCTGCAGATCCTCGATGCACGTCGTCCCTCGCCCTCTTCCGCCGCCGCCGACGCCGCAGAGATGATCGCTTCGGTATCCGAGGACGCATACCGTCCCGCCGCCACCACGTCGGGTACGCAAACGAGAACGCCACCGACGCAGCATTCGCAGGGGGAAGCGAACCCGGAAGGCGGTGCACAGCAACAGAGGTCAACCGCTTTCATCTCCGACGAGGCTGCTAGAAAGGCCAACAAGGGACCGGGGCAGGGGCAGGGGCAGGGGCAGGGGCGGGGGCGGGGGCGAGGGGATCCACTGCGCTCGTTGGACACGTTTCTGCGCCGGGTCGACGAGACGGTGCAGAGGAGCGTGACGGCCTCGCTTCTTGCCGGCGGCACCACATCGACATCGACACCGAAGTCGACGGGCGAAGCGGGTGCGGAAGCGTGGCAAGAGGTGCAGCAGGAACTACGACGGCTCCATGACCGTCTTGACTCGCAAGCTGCCACTGCCAGTCCAAGTGGCAGCACGGCCACGATGCAGACTTCTGGGCGCGACGGCCTCCCCAACCCAGCCATCGTGCTCACCGTCTTCGCCATCTCGGCCCTGTTCCTCTTGGCGTCAGCCATCTTTGGCCCTTGTATCGGCTGACCATTCGATCCACTCGTCCGCCGTGAAATTCAGAGCACGTACGGATTTCGAACGTATTCCGTGAAGAACCGACTCCTTCGCCCCGCTCGTGATTGTGCTGGGCCACTAACCTGGTCACCCGTGAGAGAAAGAAGGGATTCCAGGAACGACTGACGCTTTCCGCCCGTGGCCCGTGGAAAAGAAGGCAAGTAGTTAGGGATGCAGCAGGATGCATCCGCGTCTGGCTGGGAGTTCGGGTCAGTAGGCTTGGCTTTGCTTGGTCGGGTTGGTTGGGTGGTGAGGCTGCGCCTGTTTTTGCCGAACCGAAGCATCGTTGGTGTTGTCGTGCGTCCTTTTGAAAGCCCGTCCTGGCCTGGCCTGGCTTCGAATGCACGACAGAAAGAGGCAGGCAAGCGATGTCGAGAGGGGGGCAAGCAGCTGTCATGGCAAAGCAGAGACGCATTGACCACCGGCCACCGCCACCATTAAGATTGGGTGCTTGGCATCTCGGGCGCCGTTCCTCGCTGTTTCCGTCCGACTAGACGAGACGAGCAGGTACATGTATGGAACACGAGACAACATGGCGCGGGTAGCAAGTCGAGAGAGGGAAAAGAACGAGGGGGGAAAAGGCTGGGGGGGGGAGCGACATGACATGGTCCGTCTGACGCGACCGGGCGAGGCTGCCAAAATGCCTGCCACAGGTGCACTGCCTTCCCCCCCCTGCCATGCCATGCCATGCCCTGCCATGCCACGGACCTGGCCGCACCTGCTGTTGTCGTCCCGCTCGTCGTACAGGTACCGCGACTGCGACTGCGACTGCGTCTGTACCCCTCTGCGGCCATCATCAGGGGACACTGCCACCTCGAGTCAGGTGCCAAGGTTGCACGCCCGCCTGGCCTCTCGTCGACCCTGACTGGCAATCCTCGCCTCGCCCCGTGCCTGGCACCCATCTGGCCCCTCCTCTCGAGAGAGACCGGCAGACCCAAAGAAGTCTTTAAACTCAAGCTTGTCTCCTGCCGCTCCTTGCTCGGCGTCCCACCATGTCCTCGCTCCCCAATCTCTCGACTATACCACCCACCAAACCTACCAACCACCGGTCCAGACAAAGATGAAGGTCGCCTCCTCGCTCGCCATTCTCTCGGTTGCCGCCCTCGGCCTCGTCCAGGCTTCGCCCAGCCCCGAGCCCACCGCTGCGCCCGTGAGTCGAGTCGGGTGCACCTCGCCATTGCGTTGCTCCCGCGTCCACTTGCTGATCCCTGGATTGATTGTCGCGTGTGCCTACCGCGCACCGCCGCCGCTTCCGTCTGGATGACGACAGGTCGTCAAGCGACAGCGTGAGTGACCAGCACATCCCATCCCGTCCCGTCCACGTCCTCTCTCCGAAGATCGCAAGCTGATCCTTCACCTCTTCACCCCTTTCCCCTCGCCGCACAACCAGTGCCCGCCAACCTGCCGCTACCGGACCTAGCCTCGCTGACCGACGCCGCGGCGCTCTCGTCGCTCTCGTCGTACATCGACGCCCAGTTCTCGGCCCTCTACTCGCTCGAGCCCAGCGCGTCGTCGTTGATCGCCGCCGCCGAGTCGTCGGCCAAGTCGTACCTCTCGGTCGCAAACGGCCTCGCCACCATCACCAACTCGGCAGAGGCCTCCAAGAGCGCCTCGGCCATCTACAGCTCCGTGATGAGCGACCTCAACGGCGGCGGCGGCGCAGGAGGCGCCAGCAACTCGATGGCCGCTTCCGGCTCCGCCAGCAAGCCGACCGCCAGCGCGACCCAGACGGCCGCTTCGAGCGGATCCGGCGGCTCGAACGCCGCCAGCGGTGGTTGGGAGGCGGTCCCCCTCCTCGTTTCCCTCAGCACCGCCCTCGTCGGCGCCGTCGCTGTCCTGGCCTTCTGAGCGGCGAGCGGGCGGCCCTGGCCTCCACCTCCAGAGCCGTAGCTTCTGCTTCCCTCGTCTCGCATTCCATGTCCCAAGCCCCATGTCCCCCCCTCCCCTTTTCGGTCCTGTCTCGCCTCCTCGCGACTCGTCTTTTCGGTATATCGCTGACGGTCACCCCCAGAATGAACTTTGAAATGGAAACACGGCAGCTGAAACGCTGCCGGATCAATCGTCCATGGGCATTTCTTTTGATCGCCTCACGACCGCTCAGTTGAGATCGCGCACCTTTTGCCTGATGAGCTCCTGCCAGTTGGGTCGGAGGTGCATCGGCCCTTCGTAGCCGGTCACGAGGCGGTAGGAAGCGTTTGCCTCGTAGCTGTCGATCTGGAGCTGGCCGTCGACAAAGGCGACGGATGCAATGATGGACTCGGGCGTGGCGATCCGCCCAGGGTTGAGCGGGTGTCGCAGGTCTGTAGAGCGGGCGAGGCGGGGATGCGACAAAGGCAGGGGAGCCAGGGAGAGGAGTCAGGAGGGGCCGAAGAGTGTCGATGCCCACTTTTGCTGTGCTTATCTCACCGGTGAGGTGGGCCCAGCCGCTCTTGCGCGTCGATGCCTCAAAGTCGAGCAGGTCGTCTGTGGGCACGGCGTCGTGTTTGAGCGTGTCGTGGAGGAGTCGCATAAAGTCGGGGTTGACGCTGATGCGGTCCGGGTTGTCGCGGATGTAGGTGGCCGGGTCCTCTGCGTGGAGGTTGATCTTGGGCGAGTGCTTGGGGGGCAACAGGAATGCGACGATTGCCTTGCTCTCGGGCGAGGATGGGGGCTGGCGGAGGTAGGAGAGTGCCCAGGTGTTTGTCTGTGTCTGGGTTTGACCGTCGGAGACGTTGATGGTGGTGGGGTGGTAGTAGAGGCCATTGTCGGGTTCGAGGTCGCGGACCGATTCGGGCTTGGACGAGGAGGCACGTGCGGCGGTGCTCGAGAAGGTGCGTGTTGGGAGGGTGGTGGGGAAGCGTGCCAGGCGGGCCGGGCGGGCAGGGCAGAAGAGTGGCTTGGCTGGCCGCGAGGGGTGGGCGGTAGTCGAGGCGAGGCGGGAGGAGCCCTGGGCGAGCGAGGCTGGTTTGAGGGTGCTCTGCGCGAGGCGATGAGCTGCTGTGCTTGTGAGGGATCTGGAAGACATGGCTGGCGTTGAGAGGGTGGTGGTGGTGGTAATGGTGGTGGTGGTGGTGGTGGTGGTGGTGGATCGGAAGGGGCCGAGCAAAGGCGAGGCAGCGAGGAGAGTTGAGTGCCCAACCACCAAAAGCCTCGCGGCCAGGTGGAGGCTGACGGTGCGAGATCCGGGGGGCGGGGCGGGACTCGGATCCGAAAGAGACGGGCAGCAATGGGAGCCTGTGCGCCGCGGATCTTCTCGAAGCCAAGCGCAGAGGGGCGCGCGGGCCATCGTCGACTGCGACTCCACTTGCGGGCCTGCAGCTTGGCTTGCATCTTGTGGGACGGGCCGCTACCCTCCCGCCTTCACTTTCTTCCCTCTTAGATCTCCTTCCTCGCCCCCCTGCCTCACTCGCCATCCTCACCATTCCTCGCCCATCCCCACACCGCCATCCAACACACATCCCGCCATGTTCTCGTGCGTCGTGGCCGGTCGGCTGCCCCTCACAGCGCCGCAGCAGGTCGACGACACCCACGCCGTCTTCCAGCTCGACGACGCCCAGAGCATCAACCACATCACCCTCTTCCTCACCGGCCAGCAGCCCTTCCCGCCCGGCCTCAGCGCCACCGTCCATTTCCTCTGGCCAGGAGACAACCAGCAGTGGATCATGCTCGGATGGTGAGCTGCGCGCGCTGCCCTCCCTTGCCGCGCTGTCGTCCCGCCCTGCTGACCTGACCTGCTTTGCTTCTGCTCTCTCTACCCCCCTCTTCCCTGCGCAGCCTACGGAACACGAAACCATCCGCCATCTTTCGACTCCGCGGCTCGGCCATCCCCTCTTCATCCACCAGCGGCGGCGCATCCTCCCTCTTTTCCGCTCCCAACGCTGCCGCATCGTCCAACTTTGCCGGCGCCGGTGCCAGTGCCGGCGCCCAGAGCGTGACGGCCACGTTGGGCATCAGCATCGAACCAGACGACGTCGTCGATGCACAGATGGCCGCCCTTTCAGCACAGCAGGGACAGAACCAGAACGGGTCTCACGGATCAGCGGCGGCGGGATCGTCCACCGCCCTCGTACCCGCCCGCAGCGCCCCATCGGCCGACCCCAACACGGCAGTCGATATAGCCCTTGCTCTCGCTCCAAAGATCGGTAAGTCGCACCGCCGCAGACGTCCGCCCTTGGTCCCGTGCCATCTCACATCGCGACGCTCACGCATCCGCTGCCGCACCACCCTTCCCACCGGACACCACCAGCCAAAAACGCCTTTTCCTACCTCTCGTCCTTTGCCCCAGACTCGGCGCCCCAGACGGTACCGCTCCTCCAAAAGTGGCTCGAACAGCTCGAACGCAAACTACGATCTCAGGGGCCCGACTTCCTCGACAAGGCCGAGTAGGGCGTGTGCCCTTCCTCTCTCTCTCTCCTGCTTGCTGCTTTCCACCGTCGACGCCCCGCCGGCACCACCGACGACATTGTAATCTATCCATCACTGCCTCGGCCAGTCTCTCACTCAACCGCATCGCAAGGGAAAGGGAGAGAGGGGGGCTCACAATGCGCATTTGCGTTGCATCTCGTTCCGCGCCCGGTATCAATGCAGAGGCATGCCCCGCGTCGTCGACCCGACATCAATCCTGGCGCACCGCACCGACGCCCATCCGGCTACGCTTGACCGTCTCCCACTCGACGCGGAAAAAGACCCAGATCCAGCGCCGCGCAATCTCGAGGGCCTCCATGACAAACACGCCGCCCTGCCACTCGACGACGTGGTGCAGGTGCGACGACAGCTTGAGCGACCAGAAGAAGCGCAGCACCAGGTCCACCAGGATCGCAGCCTGGTACGTGGTCGGATCGAAGAGGAGCGAAGGCGCCCCACTGGCCGTAGTCGGCATCGGGCGTAGCACCTTTTCCAGCAACGACGGTTGCCGCTGGTGCTGTCGCGCTGCGGTCGATGCCGACGACGATGACGACGACGACGATGACGACGACGAGGGATGCAGCAGGTGCGGAGACTGCGCCGACGATGACGACTCGCCCGATTCGACCGCCTCGAGCGCCCGCAGCGGCATGGCCTCGGCGCCGTCGCCCCTGCGGTGGCCGTGGTGCTGCAGAAACGAGAAGCTGCTGACGCCCCGCTTGTGCATCGACTTGGCGTGGCCCTTGATGGCACCTCCCTCGCCGCCGCCGCTGCCCACCTCGATCGAGTTGCCGGCAGATATCAACGTCGACCACGACAGCACCGAGAGGCCCCAGTCGTTGGTCACGTCCCACCAGAACGAGTAGAGGCTGTTGACGAACACCGCGAGCAGCCTGCCGCAGCCGGTGCAGAAGAGAAAGACGGCCATCCAGGTCACGCGAGTCAGTATATTCGCTCTGATTGATCGTTCCGCGCCGCTCCTGGCACTCACCAGAAGTTAAAAGTGGCATTCCACTCTCCGCTCGACCCGCTGACCTTGTCGGCGTCGTACCACGCGCTGAGCCAGATGACGGGAAACGCCGATGCATACTTGGCGGCATTCCACAGCGGTTTCTTGTTGGTCGCCTCGGCTCTGCCGCCGGTGAGGGGCCGGGCGGAGCGGGGCGGCGCGGCGGCGTTGGCCACCATGTACTCGGACACGCACTGGCGCAGGCGGATCATGTATGGCAGCGAGATGAGGACGGGCACGACGACCGAGCCCTTGCCGTTCCACCAGGTGTGGTGCTCGGCGCGCGGCACCAGGAAGCACGCCGTGAGCCAGACGTCGCCGAGCACCTTGGCAAACGACGTCAGCACGTCGGCCAGCAGCACATCGCCAAACGTGACAGCCTGCGACAGCGAAGGCGAGAGGATGCGGCGGACCGAGCGGCCAAACGCCTTGCGGCCGGCTCGGTTGAGGACGTTGCCCGGCCACAGCAGCGCGCCAAACGCGCCCATGACCGCGATGCCCTGGAGCGCCTGCGCATGCCGGCCCTTGGGGTCGCCGTCGAGGTGGTCGACGTAGTATCGGTAGCTGAACCAGCCCAGCAGCGACCAGGCGAGCCCACAGACGCCCGCCAGGTAGAAGGGCAGGGCGCTGCGCTGCCCCACGACCGCCGAAGCAGGAGGGTGGTGGAGGTGGTGGTGATGAGGGGCGGCGTGATGGTTCTGATGGGAGCCAGAGCTGGGGCCAGAGGCGGGTCGTGCGAGTGCGAGTGCCTCGGTCCGGGAGGTGGGCAAAAGCACGTCCTCCTTGCCCCTACGCGGTTCGTCGAGGTCCGGCTGCAGCAGGCTATCGTCGGCGCGGATGCCGTGGCCAGCAGGGTCGTGAGTGCGGACGAGCGACCATAGATCGATGCCGCGGCGCCCGAGAAGGTCAAAGTTGGAGGCGGACAGGATCAGCCCGATGGATACGAGCAGCAGCACCCGGTACGGAGGCGGGAAAAAGGCCGAGAACGAGGGCGCCTCGGGCGTGGTGGGCAGTGGCGGCGGTTCTGCGTCGGCCATCCTGGAGGTGCGTGCCAGCGGAGGTGGGGGGCGGGGCGGGGCCAGCGTGGGGACGAGGTGGGTCACGGCAGTGTGTACATCTCGGGATGCGCCCTGCTTGCGAAGGGCGGCACCGTGCGGCTAGGAGCGATGGACGTGGCCGTGCTGGAGGAAAGCAGGCGATGAGGATGGTGGTGCGTGGCGGTGGTGGTGGTTGGTGGTTGGTGGAGGAGCGCTGCGCCAGGGCCACTCACAGCTCACCCGCTCGCCGAGCTGCCCACGCCCTGAATTTGCCTGGCTTTCTTCCAGCTCGCACCGGCCAAGACAGGGGCGGCCCTTCTAGCTAGCCCTCCGCTGGCTCCTGGTCCGCCGACCGACCATTCGATCGAGCCCTCGACGACCGCACCCGCACACAAGGCCGTCTCGCCTTATGAGAAGCATACAACCGCTTGACGGATGAATCCATGACGAATCGGAGAGAGCGAATTCTACGCTAGGTACGTCCGCCGCAGCCATCTATCCGCTGTGATACATACAAAAGGCCATACGGGTTGGGAGAGGAGGGAGCGAGGGACAGAGTAGGGATGAGATGCGGTGAACCAGAGGATTGTCCGGAGAAGGGGGCCAGGAGACTGCCAACGTGTATGCTCAGAGCAGCGCCGCCGCCGCCGCCGCAGCACCAACCACGGCTACGATCGAAGCCGCGAGGCTGCCCTGTGCAGAGAGAGCTCCGTTGTTGCTGTTGCCGCTGTTGCCGCTGCTGCCGCTGCCAGACGAGCCGGAGCTCGAGCCGGAGCCAGAGCTGCCCGACGATCCGCTCTGACCGCCGCTGGGACGGCTGGTGGACGACGCGGCCGCAGACGAGCCGGAGCTCGACGCAGAGCCGCTGCCGCTGCCGGCGGCGCGCGTGTCGATACCCTCCTTGAACAGGTAGTACTGCGACACCGGGTCGCTCAATATCAGGTAATCTTCGTGGGCGACGTTTGCCACGTAGTTGAAGTGGTGCGATGCGGGCACGCCGCCGGGCAGCGTGGCGAGGGCTTTTTCCATGTTCTGGCCGCGGGTGAGGTGCGAGGTGCCCTGGTAGCCCGCCTCGCAGTGGGTGTCGCCCTGCTCGTTGTCCGACAGGCCGAGGCCGTAGACGACCTTGCGCGAGGCGTAGCGCGATGCGATGTCGTTGCGATCGTCGCCGCGAGCGTAGCTGTTGAGGTTCGAGAGGCCGTAGGTCCAGTCGTCGCGGCTGTTGGCGCACGACGTGTCCGGCGGGTTGTCGATCGGGCGGTCGGTAATGGGCCACGCGTAGGCACCCGGGTTACCCGTCAGGAAGGCGACGTTGGCGTCGTCGTCGGTGGGCTTGCGCAGCATGGCGTAGCGCTGAGTCAGGGCTCCGCCCAGGCTGTGGCCGGTGACGTAGATCGACGTGAGCGCCGGGTACTCGGCCTTGTTGAGGAACTTTTCAGTCATCTTGTCAAGCACCGTGAAGCTCGAGACGCGGGCGTCGTTGGGGCCCGCCGAGTTGCCGCCAGTGGACCAGCCGCCGCCGGCAAAGTAGAGGTCGTTGGACTCGCCCGCGCCCGCCGAGCGGTCGGCCTGGGTGAGCCAGGCGGGTGCGGTGATGAGGATCGTCGAAGGGTCGATGCCGGCGGTCTGGTTGAGCGAGGCGCAGAGGAGGCTGTTGCGCACCAGGTTCGAGTACTTCCAGTAGTCGCGGGGCAGGCCGGGCTGGACGATGATGACGCGCTTGATCTTGGAGGCGTCCTTGCCCATCTCCTGGATGTAAGGCTGCACCGTCTGGCCGCCATCGACGACGAGGTCGCGCTTGGTCTCGAAGCCGACCACCTGGGGCATCTCGGTCCAGCCAGAGGAAAAGGAACCGCCGACGGCGGCGCTGCCGATGAAGATGCTATCGCAGCCGGCGCGCTGCGAGTTGCTGTCGTGTCCGCCGTTGCCGTTGATGACAATCGACTGTCCGCCGGCGTCTCCCTGGCGTGCGCCGGGGGCAGGGTCGCCGTTCTTGTAGTCCTTTTGCAGGATCGAGGCCGACTGCCGCGAGGCGAGGCGCGAGTGCGAGACGGGTGTGCGGTCGGCCGAGACGCCGTTGAGGGCGAGCAGGGCGACGGTGGTGGCAGCGGCCGCGCCGAGGAAGTCGCGAACCATGGTCGGGCGAGGGAGATGGAGAGGGCCGGTGAGAGTTGGGATCGGCGCAAGTGACCGCGAGAGATCCGAGGTGAAGCGGGAAGGAGAGGCGAGCAAGAGGGGGCGAAAGCGAGCGAGCGTTCCAGGTGGCAAGCGACGAGGGCAAGCAGATAAGTTAGGGGCGTTCAAGAAGGTGGTGGACACGGACAAGAAGTGAGCGACAGTGCAGGGGGGGATCCGGGGTCGAGGGGAAGATGGAAGTGCAGAGAGAGGACGGGACGAGGGACGAGGGGTGGCAAAGAGGCGATGGAGTAACACAGAGAGGGCCCTTGACGCTGCCTGGCCTCTGCTGCACTCCATCTTGGGGTCCGCAGGAATGTGTGGCGAAAGCTCGGTGCGCTGCCCTGCTCTCGCTCGGCCCTTTGCACCGAGCCGGCTGCTCCCTGCATCCTACTACTCTGCCCTTTCTGGCCGGCGTGGCTCACAGCGTGTTGCTCTCCCGTGCTCGCGCTCCTCGTCCGATGCGATGCTGCAGGTGACTGACTAGGAGGCAAGAAAGCGAAGGTCCACAGCGTCCACAGCGTCCGCCCGTCCGTCGGTCCTTGCATGGAAACAAGAGCTCGAGGGGCTGTCCGGCCCGCCCTGCCTCCCTCTGAGCTGCAGCTGGCCGGGCATGGCATGCTGGCGAGGTCCAGAGCACGACGGCAGGCCTGCTAGAGATCCCTCCGACACCTGGGGGCCTGCTGCTCGGCAGCACGGCTCCGTGCTGCCGTCCCTTCACCTCTCCGACTCTTGCTTGCTCTCTCGGCCTGTCTCGCCGCCGTCGTCGGAAGTGAGCAGACGAGGCCGGCATGGAGGGGGGTTCGGCCCCCCTCCGAAGCTGAGTCGATGACCATGATCGCACGCAGCCACAGGCCACCTTCCCGCCGCTTCCCCTCTCGATGGCGTCAAAGACAAGCCAGTAAGAGCCACCTCCGCTACGCTCCGGGTCTTCGATGTCACGGCGGTGTTGATCGCCGCTCGAGAAAATCTTTGAGCCGGTCAAGTCGTCGATGCCTTGTACGTGTTGTGTTTCTCTCAAATTGCCGCGTTGCCTGCGTTGTTGTGCCGCGCGCGTGCCGGACGGGCCCCATTTTGGCACCCCGCAGCCCCCGCGAGCCGGTTGGCCCTCGTCCGCCCATTGTCGACGCCCGGGCTGCGCTTCGGGCGCGCGACTCGTCCCGTCCGAGGGCCATCGTATCGTGCAACGCAGAGTGCCAACGAATCTCCCGCCCTCTAGATTCATCGTGCGACGCCGGGCTGGCCGCAGACCCGGCGGGCGCTGTTGGGTGGCCTTGCGCCGGATTGACCGACAACCGAACGGCGTGGCTTTGGGCTTGGCGTGCTTGGCCACGTACTTGGCAGCTTGAGTTCCTCGATGGCAACTCGCGCCCAGGTCGCAAACCGGCCGCTCAGGGTCCAGCCAGGACTTGTCGGCCGAGTGACGAGCCAGTTGGGCAGGACCTCGTCAGCCTGCCTGCGCTCGGGCCTGCCCTGGACAGAGAAAGGCGCCTTCGGCCGCGTTGCTTTCTTCTCATCCCCTTCCTGTCCGCCACCTCGTCGTCGTCGACCGATGCTCATCCCCGACCCACCTCCCGTCTCGTGCTCCTGATGCCGCTCACGACCGCACGCGGCGTATCTCGCACCTCCTTCGACGCTCGGTAGCAGTACCGCCTCGGCGGACATGCGCGGGACAAAGCCGCGCACCACAAGCGCGAGACCCGCCGAGTCCTCGTCTTCCACCGACAGCTCATCGAGCTCCGATTGCGAAACTCTTTCAGACTCGTCCTCCGTCACAGATGCTCCCGCCAGCCATGCCTCGAATCCGCAGCGAGGCCGCCCCCACCGTGCTCCTGGCATTGGACAGACCGGTCACCTTCGCTTCGAGGGCGCCCTGTCCATGCTGCCCTGTTGCCTCGCACCGGCGCTGACGGGCCACTTTGCCTCCAAGGACGCATGCAGATCCTGCCTGGCATATAAGCGTACCGCGACTGTCCACCACGTAGTCAGGGCACACCGCCTTCTTGACGAGCTGGATCTGTCCTTTGACCGCCTTCCGCTCCCAGCTTCCGACGTCGTCACTGCCCTCTGCCGCCAATTCCGCGACGCTGCGCGCCCAAAGCAGCGCCAAGCTCAGAGCACCGACGGCGATCACGACTGGATCTCTCTCCTTGCTACGCTGCAGGCGCTGGACGTCTCCTCGCTCCTCGAGTGCTGGGGCGAGCTGCTACACAATCGTCTAGCGCCGCTCATCGCTGGCGCCGGCCCAGACTCACACGAGCCCTGGTTCCTCTCCACGACGGTGGCTTGCGTCGAGCGCCTGCAATGCCGGCTCCATCGGCTTGTCGTGCCTGCGCGACAGTCTCAGAGCGAGCAAGCTGCTAGGCGCAAGGGCCAATCCGGAGGCGAAGATGGCCTGCCGATGTATATTCAGTCTGACGCCTACAAAAAGTCGCTCGCCTCGAAGCAAGCCAAGGCGTTGACGCAATGCTTGAAGCTGGCTGCCTCCCGCTGGGCTCGCGCCTCCGCGCTCGAGCAGCGCGGGGCCGATAGCGCTCGCGGTGGTCTCGACCTCGAGCTCAGCTGCCTAGAGCGGGCACTCCTGGTCTCGACAAGTCCGACCGTCCTGGTAGACGTGTCTGGCGGGCCTTGTCGCGGCTCAACGGCTTGGCAGACCTTTCGATCTCGAGCATCGCGGTACCTCTGCGGCGATCGTTCGCACAACGACCATGGCTGCGCCCTGGCTCGGGGCCTATCCAAGCTTATGCACTTGGTGGTGCTAGGCCGACGGGGCGACATCGACCACTTCCTCGATCAAATCGGCAAGCTCACGCCGGGTATCGAGGCGCTCTGCCTGGTCGACACCTTCTGGCTTCACCACGATGTTGAGGGCCCGTGCCCGCCGCCCGAGCAGACTTTCAGCTCGCGCTGGACACTGCCGCCCAGCATCGTGCGCCTGGCCGTGCTTCGGGAGTGCGTTGCGCTCGAGCTCATCACCGATGACCGACACAGAGACGTCGCCAACCTCTTCTCCGTGCCGGGAAGCCGGCCTGTTGCACGGAGCCTTCTCCGCCACCCCGACATTCACGCCAGCGATCGCGAAAGGTCATACCCCTTGCGCCAGCGCTCACTGCAGGCGAAGCTGCACGAGCGACTCCGGCTCGAATCGGCAGTGACGATTGGCCGGCAGAGCAGACTGGCGGGCAAGTCGGCTCGGACGGCCACTGAAGCCGAGGGCGAAAACGTCAAGGCGTGGTCAGAGATGGTCTCTCTCTACGGAGACGTGCACTGCCGCTGGCCTGCCGATGAGGCGGACGAGGATGCCAGGCCGCCCCTGGATCGGCTAACGACGATGTGTCTGCGCTCGATCTGCTCTTCGGCATTCGACGCAGCGTTCGAGGCGCCAACCATGGCTGTGGTGCCGCAGCAGTTCCGCTGGGTCATCGACAATGCCTACCGTTGCGTCTCGTGCGGGCAGATCATCCTGCCACCGATCATGCAGCTGCAAGGGCATCCCGCCATGGCCGACGAGCCAGGCGATGCCATCGGACAAGATCCGCTCACGTCGCTGCGGAGAGATCCCGCACTTGCCTTCAGTTCTGAAGGACTCGGACGGATCCTGGGCAAGGGCTGGCTTCTCGACGTCGATCTTGGTGCGGAAGAGAGACCCCGCGTGGGACACCGGAACGATCGCGCAACAATGACGCCTCCCACCGTCGCGTCTGCTCGCTACGTGCAGCAGCTGTGGGCGGGCATCATGAAAGCAGGCTTCCTCCCGTCGATCAAGGAAGAGATTGTCCTGGTCCACGCCGACGACGAGCGAGATGCGAACGAGCACGACGAGGGGGAGCGGCAGCTTCGACCTGGGCTGGCGAGCGAACGCGTCGTATTCCGCGCCCTCATCGGCGCTTCGTCTGCGTCGACCCGGACATGGTCTTGCAAAACAGGTGTGGATTTTCCGTCCGACAACGACGACGGCGGCGTCGACGGCAGTGGTGAGGACAGCGTCGCCTCGGCGGATGCAGCATACCCTGCATCCGAAGACCCGAGGTCGTCGTCTGTACAGTGGCGCTTCTGCCTGCCTTGCTTCCGCAGCCACGTCTCCCTGCCCAAGTCAAACGGAAGCGGTGCCGCCAGCGAGGAGCACGGGTGTCGGTGCATCGTCTGCCGGGCAGAGCGCGAGCCCGCCGCGACTGGGAGGGCGGTCTGGCTGCGCCCTCGAAGAGCGACCCAGCGGCTGTCGCCGTCCTGAAGACGGATCGCGGGCTACGTCTTCGTTCCCTGCGGCTCGTAGGCGGTCGGTGGGATCGATTCTATGCTAAAAGTACAAATATACACGACGGGTAGGGAGGTTGCGAGCCCCCTCGCCGTCCTTCTCCTGCGTCCTCCGCCCTCTCGCACGTGGCCTCACTTGGCCTCGAGGCCGGCGCGCTTGGCCTGCCAGTGGCCCTTTGCAAAGGTGGCTGCGACAATCATGGGGAAGATGATGGTGGCGTCGCAGTACACTTTGACGTTCTGGCCCCCGTTTGCGGCGCTCTTGATCTTGCCCCAGCTGACGGCCTCGTCGGGGCGGGCGCCCGAGTCGGACCCGTCAAACTCCTGACCGGTGTTGATGTAGACGCTAAAGTCGGCGCCGTTGCGGAAGAGCATGGCGTTGGCGATCTGGTGCTTGCACACGCCGCCGCCGAGGATGATCATGCCGGCCTTTGGCGCCTTGACGCTGAGGTCGTTGAGCCTGCGGATGTCCTTGACGAGGTCGATGGTGAGGCCCGGGTTCTTGTACGAGTGGAAGTAGAGCATGTCGCCGAGCGAGCCGTCGGTGAGGGCGGGGCAGAAGACGGGGATGTCGTTGACGGCGGCCCAGTAGAGGATGCTGCTCTCGTCGTTAATCTCGCGGCCCAGGCGCTGGATGACGCGGCTGGGCGACCAGGCGTTTGCGACGTCGTCGCCCTGCTCTTGGCGCATGCGGTCGAGGATGGGCATGACCCAGTCCTCGAACTTGCAGTAGTTGTCGTTGGGCACGAGCAGGTTGCCGATGCGATTGAGGCCGCGCTTTCGCAGCGTGGCGCCGTCGAGGCTAAAGTCGCCCAGGTACGTGGGGCCCAGGCACTTGATCAGGTCCTCTTCGATGCCGCCGGCGGTGGTGACGAGCGCCGAGACGTAGCGGTTCTTGACGAGGAACTTGATGACCTCGCGGAGGCCCGAAGAGACGAGGTTGGACGTGAAGCCGAGAAAGATGCGGCAGCCGACCTGGCTGGCCTCGTCGAGGGGCAGCTTGTCCGGGTCGGTCGAGTCGAGGTAGGCCGGGTCGGTCGAGTCGAGGTAGGCCGGGTCGGTCGAGAGGCGCCAGGACCGCATCTGGTCGATGATGTCGATGGCGCGGCTGACGCCCGAGGCCTGGAATCCGACATTGGCCATGGAGCCGAGGAGCGCGGCGAGGTCGTTGGGATCCTGCTGGTCAAAGTCCGGACCCTGGATGGTGGGCGTCCCCTCGGGCAGCGGCTGCGACTGCACAAAGACGGCGGCCTGCGCCGATGCGCTGGCGTCCTGGGAGCCGTTCATGGCAGGCAAGAGGGGCTGCGGTGGCGGTAGAGGCAGCAGCAACGAAGGCGTCTGCGAGCAGGATGGACAGCGACAAGAGGACGAGGGCGAGCAGGTGGCAGGAAGGAAGAAAGCCACCACCACCACCACCTTCACCACCACCTGGCAGCCGCTGCCCAAAAAATTCTGGTGCGGGGCAGTCAAGGCCCCGGTCCCTCTCTCTGTCTCCCGGTTTCCGAAGTTATTTCCTTGACCGCTCGCACACGCTTCTCTGTTGTGATTTTATCGTGGCCAGGCCAAACCAGGCTGGGGCATCCATCCAGCGCATCCGCTCGTTGGTGCGTGCCTGCCAGAGCCAAGGGGGTCCAAGCAGGTTGGCGGCGAGACAGCAAAAAGGCACGCACGCCCCGCCGGCACACACACACGCACGCACGCATGCATGCCTGCCTCGCCCGCTCGCTCGCTATGATCACAACCGTATCGTTGCCGGCTCACGCGAGCGCCAACCAACGCTGCTTCTGGCTGGCAGACATACATGTGCTTCTTCCATCCGGCTCTAAAGTCACGACTGCGCAGGGGCGGCCCACCTTCACTCTACTCTCTCCCTTCGCCACCACTACCACCACCACCACCACCGTCATCCATCGCCATTCTACCCACGAGCAAGCCACGGCCAAGCCAGCCAAACGGGGTTTAACGCGCCACAGCAACATCCGAATCGACCGACAACCGCCCGTCGACAACCACGGCAACGCCCGTCGCTCCTTGACGTCGACGAAAAAAAGGGCCCCGCTCCGACTTTTGATGCCACATGCTCACAGGCCAGGAATAGCATCATCATCAACCCTCATGACGCCCAGAGTCGCCTCGACCTTCGTTTGACCTCTCAGCATTTCCTTCCCGTCCTTATCGCCGCCGTCATCGTCGGACCGACCTGGTCAGCGCGACTGGGCCCTCGACATCTACCACCTGCAAATCTCGAGCATTGGCTCAGGTCTTCCGGCCTGGCTATAAAGGCTCGACTTCAGGCGGCATTGTCCTCGGTCGCGCCGTAGACTAGGACCGACTCTGCTCTGCGCTCTACCGAAGGGTGCACACCTCTCTCGTCTCTCCGACCCTCCTGTCCACTCCACTTACTGCTACGCCGCTACCGCCATGTCTATCCCCTCGTCGCTCGCCGTCAACTTCGGCCGCGTGGCGACCTTTATTCAGGTTCTCTTCTACCTGCCCCTTGCGCTCGACATTGCGGGCCAGGACGCCTTCCTCGCCCTCTCGGCGTCGCTCGCATCCTACTACTTCTTCCTCTCCACCGTCCGCCTCCTCACGCGGCGCACCCGCCTCGCCTGGATCGGCCAGACGCTTGCCATCTTCCAGTTCGTCGTGGTGCCCGCGTGCCTGCTGGTCTGCTGCAATGTCTACAGCCCGCCCTCGACGACCATCTTCCCGCCTCGCCGCTCGGAGCTGGCTGGCGAGGTTCGCAGCACCGGCACCGTCATCGGGTCCATCATCCACTCTGCCCGCGGCAAGGACGCCATGGCCGGCTTCGACCTCGACGACGCCTCGACCGGATCCGCATTCCTCGACGCACTGATCCGCGCATCGGCCTCGGCCTTCTTCTACCTGGCTCGCCACGTGCCCGGGTGGTGGCACACGCTGCTGCGCCTCTCCAGCCCGCTCTTCTCGCTGCTCGAGGGCGTGGCCTCGCTGCTCGTCATCCAGTCGCTCGCCTCGACCAGCCGCTGGATCATCGCCTCGTCGCTCGCAGCGCCCTCGACCAGGTACCAGACTCAGGGGCCGGCCTCGGCGGCGGCAGCGACGGCTCCCCCACGCCGCCGGTGGTTTTCGGATGCCCTCCTCTTCCGGTCGCTCTCGTCGCTCGGCTTTGGCGCTTCCGAGGTCTGGCAGATCTTCTTCCTGCTGATCAGCGCCACGACGTACGTCTGCGCCGCGCTGGCCCTCTACGTCGGCTTCGAGGGCGCCACCAAGGACCGGCCGGGGACGGCGGCGGCCATCGCCACCAGCGTCACCAGCACCGTCTGGCTCACCGTCATCGCCTTTGCCATCCGCAAGGGCAACGTCATCGAGACGTCGCTCATGTTTGCCTACGTTGTCTTCAACATCTACCAGCTGGGGCCGTCGCTCTCCTTCACCCCCGACCCCATCTCGCTCATCCGCTCCTTCAAGGTCAACACCCGCGGCGCGTCCTTTGTCGACTCGCTGCCGTCGTCGCTGCAGGCCCCGCTGCCGTCCAAGATCCTCCAGGCGTTGGGCACCCTGCTCGAGGTGCTGGCGCACTGGCTCGGCCAGAGCCTCGACTTCCTCTCTGCGGCGGGCGCGGCACTTCCCAAGAGCGTCATCGTTTCGCTCGTATACCGCCTGATGGTGCTGTACGCCGCCAGCCGCATCCTGCCCATGCTCAAGGGCAATGTCGCGGCCCCTTCGCGCTTCGAAGAGGGCGGACCTGCACGTCGTGAAAGCTGGGGCACGGCGAGTGGCAGCAGCAAGGCCCGCGCTGGCGCCGACAAGGACGCGTCGGAAGGTGGGAACGCGGCCAGCGGAGCGGAGACGCGAGGAGACGCTTGGGCTCGTAAGCAGGCGCCGAACGCCGACGACGACACCGAGTCCGTCTCCGACTCGACGTCCGGATCCGACTCCGAGGAGAGCGGCGCCGAGGTCGAGGAGTACGAGGAGGAAGTGTGGGACGAGGACGAGGGGCGCTGGATCCTGCAGAAGCGCAGGCGGACGATTCGCCGACGAAGGAGGTCGCGCGGGCGGCACAGCGGCAAAGGCGGCTTCGAGGACGAGGAGAGCGACGGCAGCCAGGTCGATCCGTGGGCAGACGAGGAGGAGGCCTATTCCGAGGACGACAGCGGCATCGCCTACAATGACGAGGTGGCGTCGCTCAAGGAGGCGGATGAGGCGATCATCAATGACCCGGCGGGCGTCAAGGAGCCGCCGCCGGACTCGGACGGCTTTGCAGGCGACCCCGCGGCTGCTGCGGCGGACTCTGGCGCCACCGCACCGCCGCCTCCCTCGACCGCCGCCGCGACGGCCAAGGGCCGGACCGGCCGACGCTCGCGGACAAAGTCTGGGCGGCGGGATGATCTGCAAAGCCGTGGTGCCGCAGGCCCATCGCCCTCGGCATCTACCGCCGGCGGGTCGAAGCCATTCGCCCCGCACCTGAACCTCGACGGCCTCCGGTCTCGCAAGCGGCGGCGCGACGCCTCGGGCTCGTCTACGCCCTCGTCGGCGTCGTCGTCGTTCCGGCGCTCGTCGAAGCGGCGCCACCGCTCTTCGCCCACGTCGTCGATCTACTCGGACGACGGCGACGACGAGCAGGAGCCGTTTGGCGCGTTTATCAGCATCCTGGTCAGCTACTCGCGGCTGATCCTGATCGCCGTCTACTCGCACCTGCTGCTCCTCGACCAGAAGAACCAGATCTACTGGCGCTTCCTCACCGTCGGCCTGACGCTGACGCTGTGGGGGCTCGAGCTGGTGATTAGCAAGGAGGACGAGGTGGACGTGGGTGGCGGCGGCGAGATGCTGGCGCGGTAATGGGGGGCGAGCGGGCGGGCGAAGCGATGAGGGGCGAGCGGGGGGGCGAAGCGATGAGAGGCGAGGACGGATGGGTTCTTTTCTTTCCACTATACCCTGGATCTGTCGCTGTTGGTACCATCCCACCTCGCGCGCCCGTCGATCGAGGCAGACGACGGGCAGCCGAGACGACTTGAAACAACACAGACAGCATGCCTTTCCACTGAATCGACATTGCGCTACCGAACGGAACACGACGGGCGAGGAGCTCAGGCGCCCACGACGAGGGCCTTGACGACCTCGCGGGCCATGCCGGCAGCCGAGGCGGGGTTCTGGCCAGCTGCAGAGGAGGGAGGTGCGAGCGAACGAAGGACACCGGGGAGAGACCAGGTGTCAGCGAACAGGGATCCGCGGGAGGCCATCAAGTGGTGCAAAGAGGGGCCAAGAAGGGG